GACTAGATGACCCACAGAGGTCCCTTCCAACCCCTACCATTCTGTGATTCTGTGATTCTGTGATTCTGTTGCATGCAGGCTGACCTAGATGTCCAAGTACCAACGTGCTCCTGTGTGTACAGGATCATCCACTGAGGCACCTCAGATGCTTTTCTGGTTAAAGGAGGATTTTCTGTGCTGTTAGGTAGCCTCTACTCAGGGCGACAGTAAATAAATCACTTTTGGGTGGAGCAGACAACAGAGGAAGAGGATGTTTGGAGTCGACACTAATACTCGTTGCAGATGTGGGCACAGCACTTTGGTTTGCCTGCCTGTAAAGCACGGGCAACACCACCATCTGTGGGGTGGTCTTAGGGCTGCTCTGCTCGGGGTGGGAGCGGGCTGATGCTACCCAGACGAGCAGTGCTTTGCTCTGGAAAGTCCCAAGTTAACTCGGCTCCCTACGGGAGCAACGTGCTCTTTGCCAGGAGAAATCTCTCCCGTATTGTTTGTAGCTTGCGCTGAAATTTCAGATTAGAGTTGTTTGGTAAGTTCTGAACACCGTTATTTTTATTATTACCTTATCTCATAGCTGAACTGAATAAGAAGCTGTCAATAAAATGTTCGTCCAACTCCGAGCTTCTGGCTGTCACTTCAAAGCTGTGTTTTTCTGTGGGTATCTTGCCACAGGCTGAAACGGAGAGCTGATTTGCTGGTTTACACCATGAAAGAGGTTCCTCCATAAGTGTGTTGGGCCTTAACATCTAGACCTGCGTTGGCTTGAATCGCTCAGGAGCCGGGCTCTTAAATTCTCGTGTGAAATTTCCTCCTGCCCACAAACCTCAGCCTTTACTGGAAGTTTTTCCATAGCTAATTTCACACTCCTATGGCAAGCTTAGGAGACACCACCGGGAATCCGTACAACTGATTTCTCTGCCATGGGTGAGATCAAAATACCGTCCTCACCCAGATCTGGCTTTACACAGCCTTGCAACGCTTGTGTGTCTGATGTCCAGTGCTCTGCTTAGAGAAGGGTTCAGGGATCCTGCTGCTGTGTTTTGGTGTGGAAAAACCAGAGAAGAAGCTGGGTCTGGTCGAAGGAGGGAGATGGGTACAGATGGAGGAGGGCTCCTGGAGCATCTTGAAACTGCTTAGGCCAGTGACTGGGGAGCTGAAATTATTTCCTCTCCTGCTGCCTCCAGTGCTGCTGGGCAGAAACAGATGCATCTGGGAACGATCAGGGTGTTTGCAAAAAGCAGTGTATTAAGCAAACGTACTCCCTTTTTGTCCGCATATTAGCTGTGATCAGACTCAGGGGTTTATGAATATGTCGTTCGAAGCATATCAATTGGTGGTTAACGAGGACCATACCTCAGGCTGCAGGAGGACGGCAAGTGGTAACTGTGCTCCTGCGGCTGCTCGCAGGAGTCAGCCTTGGCTCTGCGCGACAGCTCCGCCAGACCAGATTGAAATGTCTCACCACCACAGATTGTCTCCCGAAACTACAAAGACCCCTCAGACTGCCCACACAGCTATTGCCAGCGGGACCCCCCACGCACATATGTTTTATTTGCATTACTGAGCCCAAAAAGTAAGACTTTGGCTCAGAGGCAGCATTTATAACCCCTTCTGCAAATGCTGGCTTGCTTCGGTGTTGGCACGTCATGCATGACCTTGGGGTTACCACCACCAGGAAAGTGATCCTGGGCTTAGTCAGTCAAAGGGTCTTGACTGAAGTCTTTTCCTCCCAAGTTGAGCGGCTGCAGAGCGGTACAGCAGCAGCTAAGGAAAAGCAGAAACGCGGGCTTTGAGGATAAAAGAAAGCCCTCCCCAGTGCTTTTTCTCAGATAAATGCTGAAATTTAGAAGGGCTAATCAGAGACAGAGAAGGATCATGTGGAAATCTCTTCCTGAGGGTCTGAAACTCAGAGCCTTGGGATTAGGAAGAAGAGTTGCATTTGGTGTGTGTTTCACTTGATAAATGCCTGTTGATGGTCTGGGGTGTGTGGCAAGTTTACATAGGATGTTTTTTTGACAGTGTTTTGTTTCTGAGCAGGAGCAGAGCATGGCTTCTTGTATCTTCTTACAATCCGGGTTTTCTCCTGTTTCTGTTTGATGCATGTTTAGTTTCTAGTAGAGTTTTTTTTAAAGTGTTTAGCTTTATCCAGCTAATCCTTTTCAGCGAGCAAGTCCCTTTTCTTGCTTCTGGAAAATGGATTTGCTCACATTCCTCACTTTCTGCCTCCCTATCTCTTATATTATTTCCATGTGACCGTGTATCGTTTGTCTGTTGCACATGAAAGGTTTGTGTTGCTTTATTTAAAGACTTTTGCGTAATTGGCAATTCATTCCTTTTCATGTGGGTTTTTATAAACATGGCTTTTTTCCGGGCTGGCTGAATCAGGAGGCCT